CCTACACGAGTTCCAACAGTCAATTCAGAGAAGTCAATATTCCATTTTTCATATGGTAACAGAGGTTTATCATTGAACATTGGAGATTCCAGTACTTTATTCCAAGTTGACTCCATTTCATCATGCACTCCATATCTCGATGGTCCACTTCTCTCAGAAGCATGACTTCTATAATCATGTGGTGAAGATGGTAAAGACATTGCCTTTTGTGAAGTTCCTTGGTCACGCTGACAAGAATATAAAGCAGATCTTTCATCATGACCATCAAGGTGGAAATTTGCCACCTGTAATAGCAGAATGAGAATCACATGTAGAGCTTGGAATATATTTAAATTGAACTGAATAAGCAAAGAAACCCTTCTCCCTCTTCTAAAAAACGAGGGAAAAAAGAAAAACCATGTTTTGAAACAAACTAATCCAATTATTTTTTGGACCAAGCCACACATGTTAATACTATAACCATCAACATCAAAATTATACATGATTCACAAGTCACTAACTTTAATACAACCATGAATTTTTAACATGCTGGGGTTGGAAGCCATATGCTAACCTGATGCAGGACATCCTAGTCCAAAAAAGTGACATTTAAAATCAAATTGTCTCAATTTTCAGGCTTAGATCACAACTATGAAATATCTATAGTTTGAAGAGTTAACAGGTGTTACTTAATTCCACTTTATATTTATAGGCGGCAATTTTGTTGTGATTTTATTTCCTAGTCTAGGGTTGTATATGGGCTTTGTTCTGTTATTTAGGTGTTACAGATTTCGTAGTAGTATAGAGTTTCAATCCTTATAGAGAAAGGATTCTATTATAAATCATGTGCGATAGATTACTGGTCGATTTTAAATGGTTGTAATGCATTTTTTCATAAAAAAATACTTTAATTGTGACAGCATAACTTGCTTTCATGATTGTGTGATGTAATCAAACCATAGGAGTGATGTCTAGGATCTACATTCCTACTGTTTTACTTATTTTTTCTATTCTAATTCTACCTGATCCTAATTTGTTTCGGCAGACACCAACAATCACCAGATCCAAACACCGTTGTTCAATTTTTCCCTAAAACCTATCAGAGTTCAGACCCAAATCTATCTGGCTGTTGCTGCTCACACCACCAAAACAGGCACCATTTTGAGTTTTGACCCTTTAAACCTCACCCTAAAGATCATCTTTGACCCTTTTTTCCCAACATCAAGACCTTATTGATTTTATTCTCACATTAAGTCTGATAAAATTTCATCTCTTGCACATACTGTATAATCCATTTTACTTCAACGCTGCCACTGTTTGGGATACTTCACATAATCTTCCCTAACATATTTCAGTTTTTCTCAAATAGTACTCACCCTTAAAACAAATGGACTAACAAATAAAATATTTTTGGTTATGAAGCAGAAACAGGAGAATTACGAGAAATCAATATTGATGCATATATATTACAAGTAATAAAGCAGAAAACAAGGCTGAACCAAATCAAGAAATATCAGTGCAGAGAAGAGATTTTCTTAAGATGAGATTTCCAGCCACTGATGTAATTTGCACATGTCATGATTTTGAAGCAAGCCATAAAGAGTTGTTTGATGAGATGCTGAAAAATGCAAGACAAAGACAGGGCAGAAGGTTTAAATAATAGCATATTCCACTGTTACCAAAATAATGCATACATTTTTCTGAAGATTTGCATCACTGCTATTGTTTGGAGAATGGGAGAATGAGTTATCATCCCCTCGTTCCCTCAAGAGACGGTTTTGCTTCAGTGTTTCATTCATTGCCCGTACAGCCCTACAGTGAATAGATCCTGGGTTATCACAGTATTCAAACAACTTGCTTATCAGCAAACATACAGTGCATTAAACAAATAAGATAACATAACTTAGGAAATTGAAAAGGAAGGATCATTAATGTACTTGACACAGGTGCATATCACAACGATGCATTATTTGTGTTAGTTATTTAACATAAAACAAGAACCAGGAAAACAAAAAAATCAAGTCTCCACTCAACAATATATCAAATTAATTCTTTTTGAACTTAAAATAAAATCAAAGTTTAACTGATCAAGCGATTCAGACCCAATGCATTATTATTTTACACAAAAAAAAATCTATAAAGAATTAAAAATGCACATGACACAAAGGGTATGGATTCCTCTTAAAACGGAGAGGGAAAAAAAGCAAAGAACAATAAAGAGAAAAAAAACATCTGGCATCCCTTTCATATCAGGTAAAGGAAACACTTGCTAATAAGCTTTTAGCTCAATTAGCACTGGCTCACTTGGATGCCCAATGCATTATTATTTTACACAAAAAAAAATCTATAAAGAATTAAAAATGCACATGACACAAAGGGTATGGATTCCTCTGAAAACGGAGAGGGAAAAAAAGCAAAGAACAATAAAGAAAAAAAAAACATCTGGCATCCCTTTCACATCAGGTAAAGGAAACACTTGCTAATAAGCTTTTAGCTCAATTAGCACGGGCTCACTTGGATGCGATGACAATGTCAAAGGTTCAATCATGAATCATCCACTATCTCCCCCCCCCCCCCCAGGGA